GATCACCCAGCCAGCAAGTGGAAGTGTTATATTTGAATCCACAAAACTGGATGCCAGAACCCAAGCTTTTATCTACTGCCATCCATGACGCTGCCTTGAGATTTTATGCAAGACCTAACTTGCAGTGTGGCCGCAGAAGACAGCTGGGAGATGACACACATACATAGATATATACGTGCATACACACACGCATACATGGTCTCGGAAAAGCACAAAGCACTGCCAAGACTGAGGATGGGGTATTGTTTCTACTTATATTTGAGAAGAACCCTCAATACATTTACAGTCAGCTTGAGCTGCTACAACAAAACACCACAGACTGGGTGGCTTATAAACAACAGAAATTTATTTTTCATAGTTCTAGAGGCTGCAAATCTGAGATCAGGGTGCCAGCACAGTTAGGTTCCGGGAAGGGCCCTCTTTCAGGTTGCAGATTTCTTGATTTGTCCTCACACAGCAGAGAGCAGAGCAGAGAAAGCAAGTTCTCTTGGGACTCTTATAAGGACACTGAACCCCCTCGTGAGGACTCTACCCTCATGGCCTCATCTAATCCTAACTCCCTCCCAGAGGCCCCACCTCCTAATGCCATCACATTGAGGACCAGAGTTTCAACATATGAATTTGGGGGGATGTAAACATTCAGTCCATAACAGGGTGATGAGTGTAATCTCTCCTGAGCTGAGAAATGAACAGGGGAGGAGTCCATAGAAATTCCTCCTTCAGGTCAAGAACAGGAAGCCACGGTTTCAAGGCTGATGGGCAACAAGAGGCTCAATGTGGCACCTTTTCCTTTTCCAATATGTGGATCTTTTGACCCCCCGGTCCCATCTGTTACCCCAGCAGCTGGTTCTCGTTCCAGTGCCTTCCGCTTACACAAGGTACATCTGTTTTGCAGCTGGAGGGGTAAATACTTCACCTACTGTTTTGCCTTTGGGATAAACATGTGATATAAGACAGGAGACACCAGGTCAGGGTGCAAGCTTCTACCCCTGTTCCTGCCGATGAAATAGTTAAGAAGGTAACTGTGCCTCTCCTTTCCGGTACCGGATACACGGATGCCAAAGCTGTCTGCTTCAGGCTAAATGGAAAGTTTCATTGTAACCAGTGCCTGCAAATTCAATGGTGCATTTTCTTCCCCACGCTGAGCTAATGAAGAGGACATCTTAACACTCCCCCTCACTCATCCAAAAACCAACCCCATGCTTTTATAAATAAACTAACTATATGTAAATAAAATCTGAAAACATATATTTTAAACAGGTAAGATTATTTTTCCAAATACTGGAACTATTCTCCTCCACTGTTAATCGAGACGTTTCTTCCATTACTAAGCCAGAATTCCCTCCCTGGCTTTGGGCTATATTTTTCTCTCCATTGCACTGTTTACCATTTAACATCCTATATATTTTAATCATTTTGTTGATTGTCTGCTCATAGCATCCCTACTAGAATTAAGGTGACTATATTATTTATCATCCAAACCAAGACACTTTGGATAGTACAGGGAGCACTAATACAGATTATGCCAGGACAAGAGGTAAAAATGGCAATGATCCTGAGTAAATGGAAGGTCTGGTTGCCCGAGCTACAAGGCGAGTTCTAAGCATGAGCTCTGAGTGGACTGCACGACTTTGAACTCTGGCTCCACCAATTACTTACGTTATTTCCCTTGGGTAATTTACTTGACCATCATAGGCCTAAATTTCCTCATTTGTCTGATGGCAATCATAATAATAACCGCCGACTCCCATGGTTGTGCGGGAATTAAATGGGATCATCCACGGTGCAATGCTGGGCACAGGGTCTGACAGACTGCAAGAGTGAGCATTCAGAAACACTGGCTGCCATCGTTATTATCTATCATTCCAAGACTCTCTCAAGAAGGCATGTACAGCAGATGGTTAACACATGGTCTACCCAGCACCCCGTCAACATGACAACAGTAGAAGCAGCCTTGTATCTACAGGATGCCTGGCCATGCCCAGCTGACTCGAATGGACCCCTGGCCTGAGCCTGGCCTAGGCGAGCTCTCCCCTGGGATTCAGGGAGCAGCTTTTTCCTACAGGTCAAAGACGTGGGGTCTGTAGCCCTCATGTGACCAGCAGCCACGTTTCCTATTCTACAGAGAAAGCAGGTCCAGAAAAAGAAATGACAGCTGACACAGAGAATGCTGAGGGCAGAGGAGAGAGCTGGGGGCACCTGAGTCCAGGTGGTAGCTGGTCCTGAGGCCTGGCTGTATTTCTGCTTACCCAACCCTTTTGAGGCCCTATGAGCCAGGAACTTCTTCTTTGGCCCAAGCTATTTCAAGCTGCCAAGGGTAGCCAAAAGGGTCCTGACAACAGCACATTAATATATGATTGATTAAGAAAGAAAGGGATGATAAGGAAGAGAAGATGATAAATATTTATTGACGCTCACCCGGTGCCAGGCACTGTGCTAAGGACTCTACTTGCGTACGTTATCTCATTTGTTGCTCACAGCCACACTATGTGGTGGGTACCATATTTATTCCCACTTCGTAGATGTGAAAGCTGAGTCTCAGACACCCAAAGGAAACTTCCCAAGGCCACACAATTAGTTTGGCGGGTGGCATTGCTGGCTCCCTAAGCCCTTCTATCCCAGGTGATTAATCTAAGCCAATTAATGTATAGTACCCTCCCAGTGCATGTTAGTAGACCAGGAATGGGAGTACGTCCTACAATGGCCCAATGAAACTGGAGGGAAGGACTCACATTCCAAGGCTGGGTTTCCTGCCTTTCCTGCTCCGAGGAAAGCTGATGTTAAGTTCAAGAGGAAGCTGACGTTAAAATCGGCATAACGGTAGAGTGGTCAGATAAAATATAGGATGCCCAGCTCAATGTGAATTTCAGATAAATAATCAATAATGTTTTAGCATAAGTAGGTCGCGAATATTGCATGGTACATACTCTTATACTAAAAAAGTATTCATTGTCTATCTGAAATTCAGATTCACCTGGGTATCCTGTATTTTTCTTTGCTAAGTGTGGTAGAGAGGAGAGAATGAGTTCACGATGACAGTACAGCATCTGAGACCTCCACTACCTCTCAACTTGTGGTTATGCAAGGGCATCGATTCCTTTATTGATTCAGCAGCTTAGAATTTCTGTCACTTGCACCCCGGCCCGTCCTATGTCATCCATCCCAGGCAGGAAGAGTGCAGAGCAAGCTTACATCACCGCACTAAATCCTAAAGGGACAGAAACCAAATGCCATATTAAAAGCTACAAAGCCAGCGCTAAGGACATCGAACTTGTTTTGTTTGTTTGTTTTTTAGAGCTGTAAGAATGCAGCTTGACAGACTTACTGGAATTCATCAGATTCTCTTCAGTCAATGTAAATTTTTTATTATAAAGTCAAGGAACGTGAATCCACTTACACTGTAAAACTCCTTCATGAATACTAACAAACTCTAAAATCGCAGCAAAGACGACGGCTCGTAGCCACCAAAAACACAGAAACAAAAACATTAGCAATTCCACATTAAGGATCCCAATTTTTAAACATTTATGCTAACTTTCCGTGTCATTTTGTTTAGGAAAAAAAAAAAACACATCAATTAGCTCCATAGAAAATTTTGACTTTAAATCAAACCTGGAGCATTACAAAATAATCAAATAAAATAGGAAAGGAGTGCGGGAGTGAGCAGAACTGAATGACTGAAAGGATAGCCATAGGACTGAGTTGTTATTTAAAGGTGAACGTCGTGTGTGTGTGTGTGTGTGTGTGCGCGCGCGCGCACGCGCATATGTGTGCATGCGCGTCTACTGTTTATTCAGCATCAAAAATCACAAGGTAATGAATCCAAGGAGTTTATATGCTGTGCCAGGTATATGATCGATGAACAAAAACAGGATGTTGTCTTAGCCTTTACAGCTATGAAGACAGCAAACAATTCCTGCGTCCTTATTTTCATCCACCAGTTTTGAAGTCCTGTTCTGATGCAGAGCATTTCCCATAACATGGTACACACAGCACTAACATCACCATCATCCAGGCTCCCCTCAAGCCCATAAAAGACTGTAAGTCAGGGTATGTCAGTACAGAACAATTGTAAAGTTGAGGAAAGTGTTAAAACGCAATATATCTATATATATGCATGCAACCGGATTAAAAAATTTGATGTACGATATTCCTGGACATAATGCTATAAAAGTATTAACTGTCCCTATATTGATCTATACATTTAACAAAACCCCAATCAAAATACCAATAGGGATGGGTTTGGAGGGGGAATCAGAGGAGGACTTGATAAAGTATTTGTCAGTTATATCTAAAAAAAGAAACAAGAAACATCTGAAAAGAAAGAGCAAAGGGAAGGAGAATAGCCCAAACAGGTATTATTACAAGTATTATAAACAAAAAACAGAATAATGTGGTACAAACAGGACAAAACAGGAAGCTCAGTGGAACAGAACAGAAAGACACACAGACACACACACACACACACACACACACACACAGACACACACACACACACACACACACGGATTTGTCCATTGCTAAAAGTGGGCCTCCAAAATCCGTGGGGAAAATGGATATGCAATAAACGATGTTGGTTACCATTTAGGAGAAAAGAACATAAATGGCTTATGAGTTTTAGTGAGATGGCTTTTAAAAGTCCGAAGCGGCAGGAGCTGAATAGCAGAACGGCATCCATCCACAGAACAGTAAGCTAAAGTCCTCTAGCAGTGTGCTCTCAACTTGTGGTTTTCTAAAAGGAGTCCCAACAAGAAAGGGAGCACAGTCAACTGGTGTGCCCTCTTCCACCCTGTTAGACTTCACTGCGTTTCCTTCGCCCAGTCCTTAGGCCCTCTCCGTAGGCAGTATTTCTCTAGCACCCACTCCCCCCAGTAATACAAAATGATTCTGGGAAGTTAGAAGATTTCTCTATACATTTTGGGATTCCCTAATCCCCCAGTTGTTGAAAGGCATCAATACGAACATTCTGAGAGTTGTCAAAGATCAGGAATAAGTCTTACCTGTTTCCTCTTTTCAGGGGGAAGTGATGGATCTCCATCCTACAAAGAAACCAGTGTTTTATTTTTTAAAAATTAGATGCGTGTAGATTCAAGAAATTGAACCGAACTATGAACTAAATTCAGACCCTCCCCTCTCCCGCCCCCTGCAACCAACAATGTGCTGAACCAAACTCAAATATACTTTAAAAATTTTAAACTATAAACTGAACCACAGTCATTTTGGGAAAACCTCTAAGGAATCACTTCCAATTAGGACCAATCTGTATATTTTCTAAACCTATGTGAGCCAAATAAATAAACTGGATTTATCAAAATTACTTTTGAGCAGAGCCTAAACAGAAATAGTATTTCATTTGGTTTGAGTTGAGCTCCTCTTTTAAATAGATCCAGAGGAATAGTAATGGACACATACAATGCACACACATACTTGAGTTTTCTCTATGGGCAGAACAATTTGGGGGGTGGGGATAGGATATGCTCAAAATAAAAGAAAATTAACTGAGAACTTCTAGTCCTATCAGACTTTTTGTCTTAAAAGGATTCAATTTCTCTCCCTCGTGTGCCATCTGGGAATACATAAATATGTCAGGTGAATGATAAATGCTCAGGAAATAGTACTTCTCTATCTGATGCTGTCCACATACAAGTCAACATTATTTTAACCTCAGGAATCTTTCTACTGTACTTCTGTGTTCCAGGACAGTTCAATGACCCCAGCACAGACGGTTAAACGTAAGCAATAGTGTCAGCACTTAAAAAAGAGATGGCATCAGTGAGAAAAAACTAAGTGAGAATGCAAAGTAGCGCTATGCAGTTGGTATCCTCCATTTCAGTAACATTTGCATCCTTAAAAATCCTGCCATATGAAATCTAGAGAAAATCTAATTGCCCAGGAAAGGGAAAGGTTTAAAAATTATGGAAATATTACTATGCACTGTTTTAAAAAGTGAGTTAAATCTGTATATATGGCCTAGAGAGATGTCCAAAATAAAGTGCTGAGCGAAAAGAGCAAGTTTTAGAACAACATTTATATAAAGCTGTCCAATAGAACTCTCTGCAATGAGGGACATGTCCTACAGCTAACTGTCCAATATAGCAGCCACCATGGAAATGTTCTATATCAACACAGTCCCATACGGTAGCCACCAGCCCCCCATGGCGATTGAGGGCATGAGATGTGATAAGTGAGACCGTGTTCAATTTTATTTAATTCTAATTAATTCAAAATGAAATTTAAATAACCACATGCAGCTAGTGGCTTCTGTATTAGTGCAGATTTATAACACAAATCCTCTTTTAAAAAAAAAACACCTCCATACAGTTTTAAGTAAATAGGCACACACAGACACATTCAGATATGCGTGTAAGATCATGGGCGCCAGAGCAAGCATCCGGAAGCATGTACTTATCAACTAGCAAGTGGGACTGGATCGTGGAATAAGTAGGGTGATGACTTTCACGTCTTAATTTTTCCACTTTGGAACTCTTCGTGACGCAATACGTACAATCAGCTCACGGTACTTCTTCTTTAGGGACTGGTGGCGCTCTCGAAGCTGATTGGCCATGAGTTTGTACTGGTCCCTTTCCTGCTGGCATGTGTCCAGCTCCTTGGAAAGGATCAGCAGGGCTTCCTTCTTACTCTCCAGCTTTCTTTTACACACCAGGTACTGCAGAACAAACACATGCAGGCGACTGCTCAGAACCGTCAACAGGCCTCCCTCCTCTCACCTGCGCTGGGGTTCACACACCCTGCAGAGTTGGTTTTGTTGCCTTTTTTGTTTTAAGAGATTGTATACCCAGAATCATTTGTCAGTCAATGACATGTGAGCCTAAAGGCTGCTACTGCACCCGACATAGTCCCCCCATGACAGAACCAAAACCTTGGACATTCATGAACTTTGGCCGAGACAGGAAAAATAATTGATAAATAAGTTAAAAAGCAGAATCCTTTTTGACAATTACCCAGATAGCTAAATAAATAGATAGTTGGACCCAAAGTTTTATTTAAAAAAGGATTTCGATATCCAGGTAAGATGATGTAAAGTTCTATTAAAATTTTACCAAATGATATAACACGGAAAGATTTAATAAAAATTGTATATATTACTAAGAATTATCTCTTGGGAGCAAAATTATTTGCATTTTTTTATCCTTTATACTTTTCTGTGTTTTCTACATGTTATAGAACACACCTATATGGCTTCTATAATAAAAAAATGTACTAAAAATGTAATGAAAGATAATTTAATTGAACCATAAATAACTGCAATAGATTGTACCTGCCCATGCAACCCGGCAGACATTTCCTCACCTGAGAATTTTTGTTCAATAAATTCGGTCAGAGGTGTGCACCTTCTCCTATGATTCCAATGCAGACACCCACCACCCAGAGACCAATTTTGTGAGCTAAGTATTTTAGTCACACTTTGAATTATCCCCCTAAAGTTGGGTGTATCTTGCTGGAATTCTTCCTCAGAGTTGTGGGATACCTTCGTTCCTCCATCTCCCCACTCCCCACACTGTGACCGACCCTCACCTGACAATCACCCACCACCAGGACCAGTGTGAGCCCGACTGGGATTCTGTCCTTTTATTGGATCTATAGTACCATCTGGTGTTATTCACATATGTGAAATGTGGAACTTAAATACCTTTTGAATTTGCCCCGTAAAAGACCAAATTCAGAGCATTCACGAAAACAATTTATAGTTTCATTATACACTCTGACACGAGCACTTTGTCATTATGGATGCTCACACAAAGCAAAGACAGGATCAGTACTCCCATACCATTTGAGTCAATGCTCTTTCATGGACAAAAAGCATTACTCATATATAGTGCTTGCTTGGAACTGACTTTGTTAAGTTCAATTTCAAATAAATGAAAGGGGAAAAAGAGAGTTTTGTGCATTAGCACATTTTTTTTCCTTAAAAAAAAAAAAAAGTAATTGCTTAGCTTCAAAAACAAAGGGGGAAGAAAAGCCATTCTGAGACGGATTTGAGTTCTAAGAGAGGACACTTCCACCTTGGATGAATCTTATTCCTGGCAGTAATGAGGCTGGAATCCTGCCTTAAAACATCCTGGATTTTAACACTTTGACATCGTCTTCGTGGAGGCAAACGGTTCTGTTGCCACAGCGATTTCTCAAGAGTAAAATCCCCAACGAGTAAATATCAGAGGAGAGTAGCCCAAAAACCTGAACTGCAATGTCCTAAGGGAGGTATTGAGATTTCACAGGAAAAAATACCATTTACACACAGTTTAACAGAGCTGCCCTTGTGCCTTCAGTTCTTTGCCTGTGATCAGCGGCCTCGGTTGGCAGTGCTATTGGCATTGGTGGCACAAAAACAGTCACCTTTGTCCCTTCAATGTATCAGATCCAAATCTAAGGCCTCAAAAATATTCCGTGTCTTCCAACTTTGGGGAAGAAAATCGCCAATAGTGTGGAGGCATTGTACAGTACAGCAGGCAAGATTAGAGTCACATCCAGTCTACTGAAGGGGACCAGGTAAGGGTCACCACTTATGGGCAAAGTAGAATTCAGGTTCCCTGACCTTGAACTGCAATCTCTTATGATCCAAGAGAGAAGCCGTTTCTCTCCCAAGGCATGGTCCAAACAGGGCCTTGCAAGCTGCTTAAAGGGCAGCAATAGGCCTCCATCCCCTCTGGGTCTAAGACACCTGGCAGATGAACAGGCACAGAGCCCTCTGCTAAGACCCAGTGACCTGGGGTTTGAGGAGTGGCATCACTGCTCTTCGGGTCTCCTTAGGGCATGAAAACAGGACAATTATAAGCTCCATCAAAGGGTAAGAAACTGATTCTGTATAGAAGATGAAGCCACACCAAGAAAAGGGCGGTCTTTAGAAAGCCACTGCTGGACTGTTCTTCCTTTTGCTTAGTGTGGTCTAGAACAGTGAATTTCAACAATGTTATTCTACGTCATTTATTTTGATCAGCAGAACAAACCTTAGGCTGAAGCCTCATTTATAAACAGCTCAAAGGGGCGGTGCTCTGGCTGAAGATGGGACATCCTCCCCTGTAGTCCTGCCACCCTCGCGTGGCAGCATCCACAAGGAGCCCTGCTCTACATCACCCTGGGATGCTTGTGAAAATGCAGATTCCTGGGTCCCAGCTCAGACTAGTCACCCTCAGCTCACCCCCATACCGCCTGAATCATGAATCTCTGGTGGCTGGCTCAGAAATCTGCAGTTAGCACACGGCACAGGTGATTCTTACTCCATCTATACTTTGAAAACCCAAGCCCTGGAGGCCTCCAGTTTCATGGTGTCTCAAAAGTTAGAAACAATTAAAATAGTCTGGAGGGACTGATAGGCCAGCGGCAGCTCAGAAGCTCAGGGCAAGGCTCCGTCTCAGAGCCATTCCAGGGTTGTCAGAGCCACCTTTTACAGCACAGAGGGGTCTGAACAAGTACAAGCACAGACTACATTTTACCATCTGGCCAAAGAGTCTAAACATGCAGAGTCTCATTAAAATATCAATAGAAACTCTGGGATGTGTATGGGGGGGGCAGTGGGAGTTTTACCAGACAATGGGATGGAATTTCTTGTTATTATTCTAAAATGGTGACAGTTTAGTCCCTGTGGTGGCAACTGCTAAATTGTCCCATTTTCTATCCCTCCAATTGGAAACAAACAAGCAAAAGCCTGGAAAGGGAGAAAAAGGTGTTGAAGGTCCTTTTCCGTTGGCAGCTCTGGACAACCAGCAAATGCATGGACTCGGCCTCAGCCTCAGAAGGGACCGGAAATAGAAGAGAAAGCGAGACAAGCCAAGTCACTGCGCTTGGGACGTTTCCGCTTCTAAAGGAGGATGAATAAGTGTAGACGATGGAGGGGGCGGACAGCAGAAAATCATCAGGCAGAGTCCGGAGGCCTCTGTCCAGATATAAGTCTACCAATGGGCTAATCATGAACCGTTGGGACCCTGGGAAAGCCACAGAACGCAAGGAACAAAACGAAGTCACACTGCCTGGGCCTCGGTTTCCACACTTGGAAAATGAGTGGGGTTCCCAGAGTGCCCTCCAACTTGAGGAACCCATGATTTTAACATCCCATCCAATATCACTGGGGTGCTGGGGAGAGCACTGCGGGGAGGGGCTCCAGGCCAGGAGGTATGGCTCACTTCAAGCACCTAGAAGTTGCTTCCTCTGCCTTGTCTAGGGCAGAGCCAGCTCAATGATTTCCACATATCACCAGCAGCAGTGGCAGTTCCAGAATCTCCAGACAGCTGCGGCTTCAGGGCAGCCACCTGGTTGGAAAGGGTGCTGGGGCTGAAGCTGTGTTTGCAATACCAATTTACAATAGAGTGAGAAAAGGCTAAATGTCTGAGTGGTCAACATTAGTGCCCCTCTCCAGTGTTTCTAGTTCTCCTTTCCTTGCAGGCGCTCGGAAGGACTATTCTTCCCCATTGCTTTGGAGTAAGGCAGAGCCATGTATCTTGCTTTATCCAATAGAGAGGGACTGGAAGGAACATGAGTCACTTCCAGGGTAGAAGCTCCCAAGAGTCAAGGTATGAACTACCAGCAGAACCTGGATCATGGAACCGGCACAGCAGACAACTGCCCTGAAGAGTCATTTGGGTCCACAGAGAAATTTGTGTGATCCAGAAATAAACTTTTGTACTTTTAAGGTACAAAGATTTTGGGGGTGTTTGTTATCAGAGCATAACTTAGCCCATCCTGACTAATACAGTCCATAGCAAAGTGTAAGAGTAGGAAGGCTGATAGAGATCATATCTGCCCCTGCTCTGTGCTTCTATTGAGTTACCACAATGATGAAGAGGAATAACATTATCACTATTATTATTACTATTAATAACAAAAATGAAAGTTGTATGGCAAATGCTTTCCATGTATAATCTCCTTTAACCCTCACAAAACCATAATGGGGTTACTGTGTTATTATCATGTACATTTTCTAAATGAGAAAGTGAGACTGAAAGAGTTTACGTAATATGCCAAGGGTTTGGCAGAGCTAGAATTCGAGCCCAGGTTTTTGTACAGCCAAGCCTGTGGAACCCCAATTCCTGACAAACCAAGCACTCAGTGAAAAGACAACCAGAGTATTCATGGAATTGGTTACTACATCTAGTTGGTATTTTCAGCATAGGGAAGCTAAGAAAAGGGAATTTTAAATTTGGCTACTTTTTATACCTAGAATCTCTTGACCCACCCCCTTCCAAAACTAGATGCAAGGCCTGAAGAAAGAAGGAAAAAATAAAGAATCCACGAGCATCTCTCCCCTCTGCTCCTCCTGAGGGAGCCAAGTAGAGGCAACAAGGTTTCCATCCACTTAAATGACATGGGATAAAACTAGAGGCTGTTTTCTCAAAAGTGGCTTGGTCCTAACAATTTTCTATAAGCTGTAGTTGCTCTCAATCATTCATTCAACAAATATTTTCTGAGTGCCTTCTATGTGTTAGGCACTGAGCCAAGCATTTGGTCTCCTAAAGGGATAAATGGTCCTGGGGATTTTGAAATGGAAAAACATGATACTTGGATAACAAAATATAACTTCCACAATTCCTTATGGGTTTTTCTGAAACCCCTAAAGTTTTGAAAACTGAAAATGTGTTCGCATCCCGTCAGTGACCTCAGCCTATGTGAGGGTTTTTACTGTCTTTATGCCACTGATTGTGAATATTCATACAT